GAGATAGTGAGAAAGTGAGAAATCACCCCTCCCCCCCAGAGTGGACGGCCATTCCACAATCCCTTCTCCTCTATTCTCTCCCTGGGATTCTGGTACACAAGTACATATGCCCAATGTGAGTTTCAAGTCACTGGGTCCAGGACTCGAACTATAGTCAGCCATATGGGAGTCCAGCGCTTTAACCACCATGCCCATTCCCAAGGCCTCACTTCCTTTTTTTTTTTTTTATAGAGAGAGATTTTTTTTTTTTTGCTGTAGGGCATGTGTGCTCACCAGAGAGACAGAAAGCAAGAACACCCCACCACCACCACCACCACCAAAGGGAATGGCCACACTGCAATCCCTTCTCCTCCATTCTGCTCTCAGGATTTTAGACACACATGCATACATGCCCGGCATGAGTTTTAAGCTGCAAATAGGACTCCAACTGTGGTTGGCTACATGGAAGTCCAGCAACATAACCAATATGCCATCTGCTGATTCCCCTAAGGCCCCACTTCTTAATACTATTGCATTGGGGATTGAATTGCTTTCTTTCTTCCTTCTTTCCTTCCTTTCTTTTTTTTTTTTTTAAGAGAGAGAGAGAGATTTTGCTATAGGGTGCATGTGCTCACCGGAGAGACAGAGAGAGATAGACAGAAAGTGAGAAATCACCCTCTAGGGGGGATGGCCACACCACAGTCCTTTCTCCTTCATTCTCCCCTTGGGATTTTGGGCACACATGCACATGCCCAGTATGAGTTTTAAGTCACCGGGTCCAGGATTCAAACTGTGATAGACTGTAGGGGAGTCCAGAGATGTAACCATTACGCCATCTGCTGGTTCCCCTGACTATTTTTTTTAAGAATTATTTTTTATTTAACTTTATTCATCATTATTGTTTTTTTCAATTTGACCAGGAAGAGACAGACAGACAGAAGGAAAGTGAGAAATTAAGCCACCAGGTCTGAGACTTGAACCATGATCCACCATGTGGGAGTCTAGCACCTTAACCATCATGCCACCTCCTGGCTCCCTCTCTGACTATTTTAGGGTTGAGGTTCTGAAATGCAATCTAATTAGCGCTGCCTTATTTTCACATAAAGGTTTGGCCTCTCTTGCCTAGCTTAGTCTGCATGGCCTCTTCTTTTCCAGCCGTCTCTCCTATTCCGTGCCTGCAGGAACCTCTCAGCTCAGCCTGGCACAGATTCCCAACTCCACTGCTGTTTATCTGTGTTAACTCTGCAATGTTCTACCCATCAATCTCAGCTCAGGACATGACTATTCTGAATTCAAGGCACTCCCTGATCATGTGCTAGATGACAGTCCACTGTGGTTAAGGCGCTGAGTATGGGCACTGGGCAAGATCAGTGAGGAAGAAAAAGCTGGAAGCCGGAAATCAGCGCAACCTCTGATGACTACCCCAGATGGTAATACCTATTTTGGAAATGGAGTTAAGTTCCGTCAAGACATGGCAGGGTCTGACTTGGCCACCGTGGTGTCCCTAGTTGTGCCTGGTGTAAAGTGGCATAGTATCTAGCACACAGGAGGAACAATACATTTCTTTCAGTGTATAAATAAATGGATAATAAATAAAAGTGACATGCTGTTCTTAGACTATCTCCCTCTGGAGTTACACGTGCAAGTGTCTCAATCCCTTAAAAAAACTGGAAGTTCTTTATTTTTCCCAAAGATTTATTTATTTATTTATTTATTTGAGAGGTTTTTTGCTATAGGGTGTGTGTGCTCACCAGAAAGACAGAGAGACAGAGAGACAGGAAGCGAGAAATCACACCCCAGGAGGATGGCCACACCGCAGTCCCTTCTCTTCCATTCTCCTCTAGGGATCTTGGGCATGCACGCACACACGCCCAGTGTGAGTTTAAGCCATTGGGTCCAGGATTCAAACCATGATCGATTGCATGGAAGTCCAATGACATAGCCATTACGCCAACTGGTGGCCCGATCATTATTATTATTTTCAATTTGACCAGAGAGAGAGAGAGAGAAAGTGAGAGAGCAAGCCATCAGATCCAGGATATGAACCGGGGCTAGTCATATGGGAAGTCCAATGTCTTAACCACCATGCCACCTCTTGGCCCCTTAAAAACTAGAAGTTCTTTAGGGGCAAGGGTTGTGGTTTACTTTACAAAGAACTAATTTACAAAGTGATTTCACATAGGTTATTGTTTCTGTTTCTCACTATCCTCCATAAATTATTACCCCCAACTTATGGAAGGAAAGCTTGCTTGCTTGCTGTCTCCTTTCTTTCTCTTTCTTTCTTCCTTTCCTCTACTTCCTCTTTCCTCCTTTTTCTCCTCTTCCTCTAGACTGCAGGTGCTTCCTATCCCTAATCCAGAAAAAATTTTAGAAGGACTAAGTGTAGAGGGCCACTGCAGTGGTCCAGTGGCACACCACTGCACAACGCTGAATCCATATGGAAAACTGGAGATTCGGTTCCCTGGGTTGACCCGAACTCTCAGAGCAGGTACATGGGAATGCTCGTTATTTTGGCTGGCAGAGAGAACTGGGGAAGGATCACTACATGAGACCTTGTTGAGGGTGTCTATTTTTCTCTCATGAAAGAAACTTGAAAAACGCCAGGTATTCGGGGTCCTGAGAAGCTGAAGGCCTGGGGGAAGAGGATCACAGAGTGGCAAAATCCTGTCAAGAGTGCTTTTTTCTCTCATATGTACACGCATGTGCTCTTAACATTAAAAAAAAAAAAAGGCTGAATTTGTAATAGATCCACAGGCAACTAGGGCTATTTGCCCTGATTTCACTGAATTATTCCAATTTAACCTTTGATGTTATGTCTAAATAAAATTAGAGTTTGTTGGGGCCAGCAGGTGGTGTGGTAGTTACTGTTGGCTTGAAAATTACACTGTAAGTATCAGCAGATGGCTGGAGACCACTAATAGTTATATTGCCGGACTCCCAGGTAGCTGCCTATGGTTCGTGTGCCAGACCTGGTGACTTAAAACTCATGCTGGGTGCATGTGAGTGCATGACCAAGATCCTGAGAGAACGGAGAAGAAAGGATTGAACGGATTGCAGTACAGCCATCCCC